TCTGTTAGAATGTAGCACAAAAACTGCAAAATACTTTCATTAAGCCTTCATTTACATTAATCTATTTAGAACAATGCCACGATTCTACAAGTACATACAACACTCCTTAACCAAGTCCCACAAACAGCCCTCACTAAAATTAGTATTAGCATGCACACAAAATTCAGAATGTCCTTAAATCAAGCTGAGATCAGGACTAGAGAGACACTACACACTTCAGCGTGACACAGATTTCTGTATTCCTGTTGCTTTCCACTAGCATATTAACAGTTATGTGTGCTGAAACTGTACCAAAGATGAGGAAATACAACTCATAAAAGTAATCTGGATTTTAGGGCTAAAAGAAACTTTCCCTAGATATAGTCTAAAAAGCCAGTATTATTTCCCCTTTGAAACTTCCCAGATGGCAAAAAAGCTCACCCAAGAGGCTAAGTGACAGTTAAGTGGATTTTTCCTTCAGATATGAAAAACTTGAAGATACATGAACAGTTTTAGAACTACAGTCTGCATTACTGCATTTGTAACACAGTGTTTGTAAATCAGAAATGCCTCTTGAAAAAAAGAAATATAGATTTCAAACCCTCCCTCTTTCAGTAAGCTTTTATTAGCTGGGGGGGAAGGGCAGTATTTAATTTTTTATGAATATACTTTAATATATCAACATCATCAGTTAAAAAATAAAGGCAGAATTTCCTTCGTAATATTGTCTTCTTAAAACAGATCACAGATCTGTTTTTACAAGTGGAGAAACTGAGTCACAAAGGCAAACTGACTCACTAAAACTCACAGAGGAAAACTCTGGAAGATCTCAAAATTCCCAAGAGGTTCTTAGTGCATAAAATTTGGAATCTGTAAGATAAGCTGCAATATTTGAGTATAAGTACTTCAGTCTTTGGGTTTATTTCATTGCCCACCATCTCAAGAACAGTTTTTGTAAAGTGTACAAAATTGTTTTATTTTGATTTTAATATTGAATCAGACGTCTGCTTGAGAACGTGACTGATGCCATGAAGTTAGACTGCAGAGCTGTGTAGCCCTCCAAGTCATAATGTCGAAAAAATTATTCACAAGAACAGGAGCTTTAAACCTAGGGAAAAGAAAGAAAAAGGCCCATACATACACTCTTTAGAACCTTATTAAAGTTCTTTTTAATAAACAGAGTAAGACATGATTTAAAAAAAAAATAAAATCTATATAAATAAGGTATGTATGATGGGAGCATGCATTACTGCACTATTAACGCATCACCTGGTGATTGAAATCACTCAGCATTTGGCCTCAAAACACATGAAAGGCACGCATTAGCAACACTCTAAAACTATTACTGTCTTACTGTTCAAGTTCAGGTATATCTTAAACCACACAGCAGTGCTTCTATATGGTATCTAAATTAAAATTCTTCAGAGACTGAAAACAGTTTTGCCATTGCAATACCTCACTTTTGATTGTTTAAATCCAGAAGGTTCCAAAGCTATACTAGAATAGGAATTCATACCTCATTAAACCAAGGACAAGATTAAAGACAGGCATACAAAAAACCCCTGAAATATTAGGGGGGGTTTTTTGGTTGCTTAAAATGTAAAGTTTGCAGCCTCCACAGTTTGTATCAGAGTAGACTACACCAACTACCAAATAATAAATCCTTGTGACCTCCCTTCCCCCCACCCAAACATATTTATAGTGGTGATACTAAAAGGTTCATATTTCATTTAGGAAAAAAATTAGAGGTTAGGAACTGCACTTTCCCTCAGTATTTGTACGTGTATTACCACACAGACAATTCATACAGCAATACGCGAAATAAATTGAAGAAAAAAAGGAACACTGATGGTGGCAGAAGAAATTCCGCGTCTTAATAACGTAACAGGTTATAATCTTGCATGCATTATTCCCCTAAGTATTAAGTTCTTTTAGTATTCGCAAACTATGAATAGGCAGAATTACTATCCTGACGTCCAGCAAAGTTATCTGCTGTAAGGTGAATATGTGAAGACGTTCACAAATGTGATTCCACAAGGAATTTAGCGGACTGATTTAGTGATCTTAATCCACTATTTATTTTGATAAATATTACTGCTTTTATGTTGTTTGTAGATACTGTACATCTGTCCATCCTATCACAAATGCAAGAGCCTTCCCAAATTATTAAACCGACATACATATTACCTTACAGCAACCTATACACACCCCTCAAAGCAAGCTGCTCGAGTCTGTTGCCTCCCTCCACCCCCCTTTTCCCTGACAAGAGTGGTCTCGTTCACTTGCCTTTCACACACATAACCAATAAAATTAATCAGCTGGAACACAGCATTTTTAAATCGCTGTAAAGTCAAGAAATGTTTTGTACGTTACTTGAAAGGAACAATCTTTCATTTAAACATCCTAAGACTCTTAATATGCTGCAGACAAACGCACTGCATGGGGTGTGGAGGACCCGAGCTGATTAGATTACCACAACATCAGCCTGAGGCCGCCATTTTTAGAATCTCTAAAGGACAAAAGAGGGAAATTAAAAAATTTGCTCCACATTTTTTGAAAAGTAACTTTAAAAGTATAGTGATTATAATCAATTTATCATGCATTATAAGTACAGACATGGATATCTCTTTATTTTCTCTGATTTGAGTCCTGTATAACAAAAACGTTTCGTTATTATTCCTTTAAGGTACTGTAAATAAACAGATTAAAACATTCCTAAATCTAGAAGCAGCACTAAACTTCTGCTTTTAACGACACTTAGTATGTACCATTTTAGGGACCTCAGGGCTTTCAGCCACAGCACATTCCCTAATGGCTGAGTACGGGGGAAATACAGGACCTTTATAATCTGGCTATATTATGTTTCTCTACCCTATTTAGTACTACACAGTGAACCGTTTGTTTCTCCTCCCCTCTGTCTGCAGCATTAGGGTCTACCCCACCAATATTTATTTCTTTAAGACATTGAAATATGCCACCCAAGGAATAGGAACACTGGCTGCAGAACCTAAAGCAAGAAAGGGATGCACCAATATAACTACTTACACCCTCAAAAAGGGGGTGGAGAGAATGTTCCCCTTCTAAATTGGCACAGAAACTCTTGAGGACTGCTTTCCGTTTGTCCAGGTTACACCACGAAGCGGAGATATTAGCAGGCAGGGAGAAAAGGAGGCGGGGGTGTGGAAGGCACAGAGATTAGGCCTATAACGAGCCATTTTAGTACCACAAAGCAAAAATATACAGGATGGAGGAAGATAATAGGTTTCCCCAAGGTTCATAAAACTCAATACGCAGTCCCAGTAACACACAAACCCGTTCTTAAAACCACCAGCCTAAGGAAGCGTACGTTGTCACATAATAGCCCCTTTTGGCTCTTTTTCCAAGCATAATGCATAAATCTGGCATAACTGCCAAAAAATTTTCCTCAGCTCCTCCAGTTACAGTAACCCGCCATATTCACAAGATATAGCGACAGCCTGCCATTTTTTAACCAAACCCCACGAAAGGAAAAGCAGATTCAAGGCAACCCGAACAGAATTTAAACACATTGCAGGGTGGAAGTGAGTTATAGTCGCACCGAGGTTAATGAGATGTTCCCGTCGCATTTCACTCCCTTTCTGCCACCCCCCTCCCCAAAGCACCCACAGCAGAATACGCTGGTAATAACCAAAGACTCACCTGTAATGGTCACAGGCCAGGCAGCAGGACCCCTCAGCTGAGCCCCTTCTCTATCCCAACCAAAACAATGCAACAGCCCCACTGCGGATATCCCTACCCTAGGCAGGACTGAACCCTCAGCAGGCTCTGGTAAAAGAAAGAAAAGGGAAAGAAAGGAAAGAGGAGACCCCCCCCCTCCCCCCAAACCTAGCTCAATGCGCAGAACCCTACAGGGACCAGCTCGGAAGCGCCTTTGCCTTGGGACCTGTGTACAAACCCCGCTGCCGCCGCTGCTCCCGTGTCTCCCTCCTTTCAGCCTCCTACGCTCCCTTCTATGTCACTGCCTCTCTCTGGGAAAATGGCGTCCGCTCTCCCCTCCCTCCCACTGCACGGGGCTCACC